GGATGGAGGGATGGATGATGGATGGATGAAGGGATGACTGGATAAAGGGAGGAATAGATGGAGGGAGGGATGAATGGATGGATGGATTGGTAGGTGGATGGAGGGATGGATGGAGGGAGGGATGAATGGATGGAGGGATGGATGGATTGGTAGGTGGATGGAGGGATGGATGGAGGGATGAATGGATGGAGGGATGGATGGATCTTTTCTCAAATTAAGACAAATGTAGTTAATGTAGGGATGTTAGCATGCCAATGTTTGAATGCAGCTCAAAGAACTGCTATCTTTAAGTAAGGCCTCACAGATCCTTCAAAATGGCCGTAGACTCTTCAGGTTAATTAAGGCGGTTAGCAGTTGTAAGTGACATGACAAAAACATGTTTAACATTAAACAGCCTCTACAACTGTAAACACTCACCACTCCTTCTACTCTATCTGTGTATTCCTTCCTCTTCTGCTTCCATCCTCTCCATCATGTGAAACACTGTCACGAAGCCTGTCACATAAATCCAAACCAGCGGCCTTCAGTTCTCCCTCTAAAGCTGAGTGAGTCTGTCTGGACCCAGCAGTGCTCTCTGTCATCCTGTCGGTTTCCTCTGCAGGGGACGAGGCCTCCTCCTCGGCCTCGCATGACCCACGTATTGAGCTGTAGCTTTAATTTACTGTCTTTCTCATCCTTATTTATCGGGGACTAGTGGCCATACAATAACATACAGCCTCCTCGGAAGGAAGTACTGCTGGATGACATCGTGGTTTACTCGTCCAGGGCCAGGACAGATTCACGATGGCTGATGGTTTCTTTTGTCGAGGACAGCGTTGTATAAAGGAAATCAAAACAGCAGTTTATTGTAGTTATTTGAGATGATTTGTCAAGAGACATATGTTTGGTGGTTACAGATGTTTTTGGAAATTAGTGTGGAAATGAAGTGACACTAAATCCATCAAACTGAAGATACAAGAAGTGGAAAACATCCTCTGAATCCTGGTAACAGATGTTTCATTTCATCTTTTTTTTATTGTCCTGCAAACAAACTTTGACCGAATTAAAGCTACCGCTGCAACCACAATGTTAGTTATGAACATCTCTCATGCTGGGATCTTGATCTGATTATTGCCATGACAGAAATTCCAATTACATTGAAAATTCACCCCAAGCGCACCACAAAGTACAGCGTGACATATAGAGGGTCAGGGAAAACAGCTCGAGAGATCCTCACAGATGCATTCCCAAACAATTAATGTGCAATAATCGACGCGGCCAAATAAAACAATCCGAGGACAAGCAGGGAAAAGGTAAACAGAGCAGCGGTAACCGTGCAGATGTTGATAAGGAGCAGGTCACACAGGTGCATTCTCTCCAGGTCTGGACCTCCTCTGCACTAAGTGGGCTCGAGCCCACTCTCTATGTGGCCCCCTATCACCCCAGTAACCTTTCATTTAAGTAACGCACCGATTCCCACCTGCAGTTTCTGTGTGTGTTTTTAGAGGCTGAGACAGAATGAAAATGGAAATCTGATTCCATTGCAATCACGAGTGCTTTTCAAATAGAAATCAGCAGATGGTAAAGCAGCCTTTTTTATGGACTTAATCATCACTTCAAGCGCTTATGGCTCCGCTTTTATTGTTTATTTTTGATAAAGTGAAAATAATGGTGCTTGTTTTGTTCCATTTCTCTTCTCTATTTTCTCTCTGGGTAACATAAAAAGCCTCTTTGAGCTCATAAGTCCATTTTTATACACTTCAATACTCAATTTTAAAGACTCAGTAAGTATATATACAGCCGTGTACTAAACACAACCATTGTGAGGCGAGCTGAGAAGGATTATTTGAGTCCATGTGGAGCTGTAGAAACCCCCAACAATGACATTATAGCAGCCTCTACTGGTGGACTGTCATCCACACACAAACCCTACATGGCTTTAAGTCAGTGTAAAATACTTTCTCCCTTTTAATGGCTCATCTGTTTGGCTGTTTATCTGTTTAAAAAGACAGCTCAAGCCAATCATCAACATGTTTTCTTTTTGGCGCCCCATTCTTGCTGATTGCATAAACACACAACAGAGGTGGAAACAACACAAGTTTAGATATTATGTTATTATTTTAGACTGTATGAGATATCACCAAAAAGAAGTAAAAAGTGGTGAAAAAATGATCGTACTAACATTGTACTATGGTAGAATATCATGCATAGAATGAGTGATATAGAAAAAATAACTACAATACAGAATAAAAACTTAAAGAAATCAAACAGAAGCACAAACAAAGAAACCAAATAAAAGTAAACAAATTTCAACCTGGATACTTTTTGAGGCACGTGTGTTTTAATAAAAACACAAAAAACTGCCAGGCTGTGACATTATTCTTTGAAGAGAAAGATAATGAATAACTCTTTTTTTCCCACATTCTGAAGTGGATTTAGATATGACTTCAAGGGGCGCTCAAAATGATTCCATGATGTCGCTGCAGATCTGCAGATTCAAGAATGCAACAGTCTTTATTCTCTCACATTGATTTGAGTTTTGTTAATGTTAGCGACCGTCTTCTGTGCGATGCTTGAATGCCTCGTCTTGTTTTGTGTTGTCTGGACTCCAAGAAGAAACGTTGTCACTTTATTCAACCTAAGTAACAACCATGGAACTTTTTTAGGACTATTTTAAATCAAAGTAATCGTGTTTAGTCTCATTCTTTGTTCACTGACAGTGCTGCACTTAGCCATGCTGCACTGAAACAAAACTATGAGGAAGTCTTTTGAAATGATTCTGTTGGACATTTTTCAAACCACAAAAAGTGAACAGGTGTGTCTTACATGGTTTTCATTGCGAAGCTCAGACAATAAAAGACAAAGGTTTTCTTTTCTGAAGCCGTGGCCTAAAAAAAGAAGATATCCAGGAAGTCGATCTGAATTGTATCGGGAATACGTGTGATGTAAATCTGTCTCTGTCGTCTCTGTTATCGGAAGGTCAAGGCTCCTACAGCAACATGTCCAATGTGTCCTTTGGGCAAGACACTTAACCCTGAATTGCTCCCGCTGCTTCGACAACGGCATGTGAATGGGATGAGTTAATACTGATGTTCACTTTATATAGCAAGCTCTGCCATCAGTGTGTAAATAGGTGGGACATGCAGTGTAAAAAGCACTTTGACTAAAAAAGCGCTATACAAGCTCAAATCCGCTGCAGATTCTCTTCAGTGATATAACTCTTTCCACATTCCTCTCTGGTGCTCTTTTGCTCTAAAGCACTTTGACTTTCATTGCATTTATTATACAGGAAAGATTAAAAGTAACATTGCAAAAGTTACAGTTAAACAGACCTGCCTCCAGCCCAACAGGTTCCTGTTCTGCAGCCCATAAAAAAACAAAAGATAACATCACACAAAAGACAAAACCAGTAATCAAAACGTATCAGTTTAATCAATGCTTGGTGTGTGTATGCCTGCCTAAAATGCCTAAGTGAGGTTGGGACCTCATTCCAGACTTTAGTGTACGTATGAAAGAACGCCCTCTGACCATGGATGTTTTTGTAAATCGGTACTGGGATTAATGCTTGTGAGAGTGATCTGGTGATGTGATCCTGACTTGGTGTTGGATCTTGGAACTATAGGACACTAAATGCTGGAGACGAGTTGTTGTTATGGATCTGATTGTAAAACTTTCATGGTGTGAATGTTTCTATAATTCTAAAAAGTCAGCGTTACAGTAATGAGTGTAAGAGGGAATGTTTCCATGAATCTTATGGGCTCTATTATACAGTCTGGCTATGGGTTCAGTGGTTTCCTTTCTACTAAGATACCAGATTGGGAGACAGTGGGATGTTATTGAGATAATTATTGCATGTAGGTATTAGTGAGATATGATCTGATCCTATTCTAAACATACAGTCGCTGGTTCAGCTTCTTTGTCAGGCTGTGAATGTCTATGAAAGGTACTAGGCTATGCTTTTGTCCTTTAGGGGGAGCTGTTCTCTGAGACCAGCATGTGAAACTGTACACATAACCATGCTGACTGTGTTTGAAAAGATGTTCTGCGCTGATGCCTGATGAGTCACTTCCTCCCTCTCTGACTGACAGCCAACAGCTGCAACATTGTGTGTGTGTGTGTGTGTGTGTGTGTGTGTGTGTGTGTGTGTCTGTGTGTGTCTGTGCGTATGCCATATTCTATTAATAAACAACCCTTCTCTGCAAACCCTCACATGAAGAATGAAAACACATAAAAAAAAACTATATCATGTAGATTCCCATCCAAACAGCTGTTACAGTAGCAGTAAACACCTCAGTCAGAGGTTAGTTTTGCAAAGTGGTTAACAGTGAATAACAGTATATGGATGCATGTTGCTGTCTGCTCTTTCTGTGAGTGGGCGAATTGTTTATCTCACCACCAAGACTAAACCTCTTCATGCGTATAGACAGGAGATCCACGTCTCCTCCAGGTGTCACATTCCTTTCCTGGTCCTTCCTCACCTCAGATTAAGTGTCTCCTCTTATCTGTGATACTCTCTGCTCGATACGTCCAAGATCATTTGATCATCTGATGGCAGCCACACTAAAGTTCACTTTTTCTCTTCTGGGTTTAGTATAAATTGTTAGGAGTATTACTTTTTGTATCTGTTGATGCTTTAAATGTCTTACAGGATATGGTGCATGTATTGGAATGCTCTTTAATATCTCCACACTTTCTAATTGAGCTTATCACCGGCTGCTCTACTGCCCTGTTCACCTCTAGTTACAAGCTCTGTGATGAAACACGAGTCTCCAGAGTGGTGACCAGTGTCAGGGAAAGACGATCATGTCTCTGTAGCCTGGGATGACTTGAATACCTTCCACAGCCGTGTTAAGGGTTTACTCTGCTTTATTTAGAACCGCGAGCGCTACAGGGCAGGACGCAATAGAGGGAGTTAAAAAAACAACAACAAAGATTTCTGCTAAATATGTACAAGCTAATCTGACGGCTGATGAGGAGGATCAAATAGGATGAACCTGTGCAGACATTAACACTCTTAAATCATGTCTGACAAGCAGCCAGGCCAAGCCTCCCGAAGGAAGCCGTCCACCAACAAGAACATCAAGAAGCTCCGCACCATGAGCATGGTGTGTAGCCTTACTAGCGGCTGGCAGCAATGGGTGACGGAGAACGAGACAAAGCAGGCCACTGAACCCAGCGGCTGGTCTCCGTCTTCCCTGGGGGGACCAACAGAGGAACGCAAGATGAAATGGGCCCCAAAGAAACCTCCTGAACCTCAGAGCCAAGCAACGGAAAACACTCAAAATAATGTTGTCAGTTCTGGAGAGGCTCAAAAGACACTTGTTCCCATGAAAGAGACCCAAAGTGCATCCAAGACGGAGGAGGTTAAGGATTCAACCGAGTCAGTGGTCGCACCTCGCATCAAGGTCAAACAAGTGGTGAAAACTGTGACTAGCGGGGTTCAGGAGAAAGGGGTGGGCATCGGGCACCTAGCCGAGAAGCTTAAGAGGGAGTCCCTGCCGTCAGACGAGGAGATCGACAGGCTTCTGAAGAAGAGAAACTCGCCCACGCGCCGCAGAAAATGCTCCAACATGGTTTCGTCTCTGACCAAAAGCTGGAAGCAGGTGGAGGACGAGCAGAAGACTGGAGGTGGAGAGGACACAGAGGAGAAGGTGGACATAGAGGAGGCTCAAACAAACAGGACGAGCCGATTGAAAGAAGACAATGAAGGAGACTCTGAGTCAGCCGTGACAATTAAAAGACCCATGGCCCCAGCGTAAGTACGACCAATGTTTTGGGTGAGGAAACAATAAATCTTTCTTTAAAACTGGAGAAAACAAGCCGCATAATTAGGAAACGCTTAAAGGTCCAATGCTCAACAATAGACAGGTTCCACAACAGTTTGTCTTACTGATGTACAGAAAATTGATAGCCAACAAATTTCCATGGTTTCATCTCTACACATAGAAGAGTATAGAGGTTTTTGGTGTAAGCAGCATTCTGGTTTTTGTTTGTAGTTTTAAGATTATCATCCAGTTGGCTTTTGTTGTTTTCCCCCCAAAAAAAGTCTGCAGAGCAGAAACGAGGGAACACAACTGCTGTAACAACAAATCTGAACCTATAAGCTACCATCTGACGACATGTAAGCTTTTAATGAATCTCTTGAATCGCATCGGTTTAAGAGTACTGAGTGGTGGTAGACCTGTCTCTCAACACCAGCCCAATTCCCATTTCTGAAATTATAAATAAAGCTGTAAACAATTACCAGCGCATGGAAAAATAGGTCTCTCCCAGTCAAGAGGCTATAGGCCTACTGGCATCAAATAATATCCAATTGGTTTTAATTTTATATAAAAAATAAGCATTTCAGTCACCAGTAAAAAAAAAAAAAAAAAAAAAGTGTTATTACCAAATCTGTTTTTATCTTTGTTGCATTTCTTAGAATATGTTGTCCCACCGGGGTCAGCCCTATGTTCCCACAGCCCAATGGTCCCACATTTCTTCTCAAAATTAGGCCTTGTGTTCCCACAGGGTAGGGTCAGGGTTAGGGTTAGGGTTAGGGTAACTTACCCTAACTGATACAAATTTATGAAAAAGGAAATGTTTGGAACATAGGACCTAATTTCGGAAAAAATCTTAGAAATGTGGGAACATAGGCACGCTCCCGTCCCACCATAAGCCTGACATGTTTTTTTCAGTGTTTTCTAGTTTAAGGAGCTCACTCCATTTTAGGGGACTGTCTGAAATCCCAATGTGTACATTTATTGACTTTACAGTGTCAACTATATGTATAGTGTCAACATTAACAGTAACAGTTCCACGACAAATAACACATGTGGAGAGCTTTGTCTTCACATTTTTAACCATAAAACACTTTGGTTAAAAACACATCATTGAGGGTGGCTGTATCATTCCTGTGTGATTAAAAAGTCTCAAACCATGAACTTTCCAATTCCTAACTTCTTACTGTTGACTTTTTGCAACTCCCTTTGGGGATTCTAAACAGGTACCCAACATAATGTATATTTTATGATTTGTAATTTAATTTGAAACGCTCCTAGGTACAAAAAGGAAGCTGAGGATGCCAACAAGATCAACGCCCTCTCCAAGAAACACAGCGCTGTGGGAAACCTCAAGAGCCGCTGGCAGACCTGGGCCTCGGATCACACCGTCAACCAGAAACTGAATCCTTTCAGTGAATATTTCGACTACGATTACTCCATGTCACTCCGTCTCCAAAAGGGCCAAGATGGTTACGGGCGTCCCAAAGAGGGAACCCAAACGGCGGAGAGAGCCAAACGAGCCGAGCAGCACATCCACCGCGAGATAGACGACATGTGCTACGTGATCAGAATGATGGCGGACCCGGACCCGGACAGAAAGACACGGGTCACGTTCGGGCAGCTGTTTGATAGATACGTTCGGATCTCTGATAAGGTGGTTGGGATCCTGATGAGAGCGAGGAAACACGGGAAGGTGGCTTTTGAAGGGGAGATGCTGTGGCAGGGCCAGGATGACGGAGCGATCATTACTCTGCTGGTGTGATGTTAACACCTGGGGTCAAAGGGGCTCTGGAAATCCTCTTACAGCTATTTGGCTTGAACAGTGGACCATGAGATAAAACCTTCATCGTTATGAAGACAATCTAAGAGGGGGATTTAAAATACAGTTTGACCAGGGTCTTTTCATTGGACACTGCAAAACACTTCCTGAAGGAACAAGGATACTTCAAAGCCTGGAAACTGGCCCATTGTTGAGTAAAGGGTAAAGGGTCTTACACTTGAACTGATGACTTTCTATTAGAATAATTAGAAATACCAAAATAAAAGTAAGACCTGGTTACGTAAGCATTCTAAAAACATTAAAGCTCCTGTTTTAGACTCTCGGTTTGCATTGATTTCAGCGCCCTCTATCTGGCAAAGTGTCATCGAAGTGGTACCTTCTATCTCTTGATATTGCTATTGCTGATCTTGAAATGTATTTTTAAGTCATCTGATGATGAATCCTGTTCTTTTAACAATCAATCGTACCATTCTCTGTGAATCTTTGTTTTGGAAAATGTAAACAAAGCCTGTTTCTTTAACGAGCTTTGGCTGACATCTAACCTGCGGCAGACCTAACAGAAGTTAAAAGTAACTTTATAGGAATTGTCAATCTTGTCACTGACGGTCTTGTTTGTCTTTTTGGATCATAAAGAGTCAACAGAATTGATTCCAATGTGTTTCATAACAAGTTTAAAAAATCCTCACAGGAGGACCCTAACCCATTAGAGCAAAAACTAACTAACTAATTAAATTAACATTTTTTAGGAGTTCTTTTATAAGTTCACAACTTGCAGAAAAGGGATTACTGATCACTTACATGCATTCAAGTTTTAAAAATTGGACACAGATTGAAAAATAAAGGAAATAACCTTACAGACAAAACCAATTACTTACTACTATCACTGTTAGCTAAAATAGCGCTAAAAACACATCAGAACAGCTAATTCCATTTTAAATGGTAAACACAGGGTTAACAAATGCACAAATAAAGTGTTTATGATGAAATATCTTCTCTATGATTTAACACACTAAGACGTTTTGTGTCAGTGTTTAGTATATCTGAGCTGTAAGTCATGCGCATGCTAAAATAAAGTCTTCCAAACCTTTAACTCTGTAAACATGCAGATCAGAGAGTTATTAGCTTTTGGCAGCTTAAGTTTCCATTCAGACTCGCTTGCTGCTTCTGTTTTGCACTTGGTTTATGGCTTGTATTAATAAGATACTTGATCATAATATGCCTAAACGAGCAGAAGCTTTGCAGCAAAGTGAAACACAGACATTTGAACACGGATTGGGTTTCACTGCCTGAATACCTGCAGCTCAGCACTCATTATACTCATTACACAATGCAAAGGCACAGAGCAGACGACAGCACTTGTAACAGCCTGTTAGACAGAGACGTTTATGATTAATGTGAAGAGTTTCTATGACTGCCTGCGGGGGTTAGGAAAACTTGCCTTCTCACACCCAGATTTTGTATCTCAGTAGATTGTCTTTTTTTTTTTTTTTTTGTAGAATCATACAGTACAAATTCTACTCTGTAGCATGCAATCAAACTCTCATCTTAATCTAGAGAATAAATGGTAGTATACAGAAGCATTGACTAACTGCTCAGCAAACCCAATGTTGTTTTTTAATGTCTGGGCTAATTATGTTTTCTTTGCATTCTATTTTTTTTAAACTCAAAATGACATCCATATAAAAGCCTGAACTGACATGGCATTTGCAGATCAGTGGGGCTGAAGGAAAAGATACAGGTTGGGGATTTTTTTAACCTTAATAAATATGTAAAAACACTTCCCATGCAACAAAACCCTTAGATACTAGTATGCTGTTTAATACAGAATATAATGAGCATTCATATGGAGTACTATTCTGTTTGATATCTGTGCCTGAGTGTTGTTGTTATATTTGTCTGACAGGTGCTTCGACCACAAAGGAATTTTCTAAACAAATTAATTCTGGCAGTTCATAAATTAAGCTGTCACTTTTAAGCTACATTTATGAAACGAAAGAAATGAACCAGGAGAACTGTAAACCCATGCTGCTTGATTCCTTTAACAGATCAGTTTAATCTTGTGTAATGTGGTGGAACCGGTGACAGTAAACAACCCAGCTATTCCTGACAGAAAGGTAGTTTGACTTGATTAGCAACGTGTTATTTCTTAAAACTTCCTGGTAGCAAATCATGAGAGGTTGGACTTGAGAGCAGCAGAATGTGTTCTATAAACTTTTGTTTACCATTTGTTCTGCATGAGATTCATCGGAAATTATCTCATGGTTGTTAATTTCTTTATGTTTTATATGCTGTTGAAACATACCCTTAAATGAGTTTCCATGTGGTTTCCAAGCAGTCTTAACAACAACATTCAGGTGTAAAGTACGCACGCTAATCACTTCCTTTAGCGGACAGGACTCGTCTGATATTACATCACATGTCATGGTGTAAGGAAATTGACTTTCTTCACTGTCGGGACACTTTGCTCTGACGTCAGGATGGGGAAACTCCAGTGCTGTATAATGCCAAGCTTACTGCCAGTTTGTAAGACATGTTAGGCCTTCACCTGATCAGCAACTGAAGTGACACAAACAGTTAAAAATGCTAAAATCTGGGCATATTTGACTGGAAATCTCTTTGATTAGCACTTACCTATTTACCTTTCCTAGATCAGGTAATGTCAGCTGCAGCTCATAGCCTACCGTTAGCTAGGAAGGCGGAAAGCGACTATTACATTTGGCAATTTTACAGGATGCTGTAGAAGAGGGCTAGAATCATAGTTAACATAATGTTAGCGAGGAGTTTATTTCCTAGCTAACGTTATGTTAGCTATCTAGCCATAAACTTAGCTAACACAATTAGAAACCCTGTTAATCTCTACCCCCTTCTTCAAACAATGGCTCTGCAAGCTTGCCAAGATACAAATATTTGGGGGAAGTGGGAATTTTCTTTTGTTAAGTTTCCTTTTATCAAAAACAATTCAGATGTTTGCTTTTCACAAGGTGTCTATATCTTTTTTATCTTTGGCCCCAAAACAAAATGTAAAAAAATGTTGAATAGCCAAACATGCCTACAGGATAGAAATGTTGAACATTCATGTTAAGATAACAGCTAACACAAGTCACCACTACCAGCTAATAGCACTGTTAGCTAGGAAGGATGAAAGTAATTAAGGATAATATAGAAGAGGCCTAAATTCATACCAACATTGAGGAGTTCAAGCTAACGTTATGTACACTATGTAGCCAAATGTATGTGCAGTATTTAGCTTATGAGCTGGTTCAGCTGTGGCTCAGTTGGTAGAGTCGGTCGTCTCTCAACTAAAACATCGGGGGTTCGATCCCCGGCTCCTGCAGCAACATGTCTGATGTGTCCTTGGACAAGACACTCAACCCTGAATTGCTCCCTCTTTTTTCTTCTTTTTAGTTGTAGTTTCCTGTGTTTTATATTATACCATGATTACTTTAAATTGATTTGAATATCCTAATGGATGATGCATTTCCATAAACCTTTTTTGATGAAGATATTGCACAATTGTTTCTATTTTTTCACCTTTCCCTCTTTCTTAAAAACACATGTATTATTCAGGTTTGAGTCTTTGTTTCTATCAAAAGTTTAAGACTTCAGATCAGATTGAAGGAATGTTTTTAGCTCAAAAAAAAAAAAAAAAAGAAGAAAGAATTCTATTTCCTGCTGTTAAACTATTCCAAGAGTTATTTCGAGGACTTTCTTTACGGTAACTCTTTCTGTTTACTGATAATGGCACACCTTTTATGCTTATTGAAACACACGTGACATAACAGGAAAGCACCACAGGTACAATATTTCCCGAACCCAGCTCCACCAGCAGGTATTGTGCGTCTGTGAAGGATGAAAAGAAAATGTGCTCAGGAATGCGTTGTCAGTGTGTATAAATACTGATCCTCCACAATCACAGTGCAAGCACAGATTCAAGCTGCAAGTGGAAACTGAAGCCTGGAGAACATCAGCCATCACTTTGATCTGTAAGTATTCATCCCAACATTTAAACTCACATTTTAACCTCAGAATTTGTAATAGGTTGTCATTTACAGTTTATAATACATTACGATAACAATAGAATGTTTTAAGCATTTATAATAAAGATTAATGAACTATATTTTTGTTATTACTGTTAATATTCATACAGCATGACACAGTAATACAATACATCTGCTATCACAATTATATAAATGTAAAGAATATGAAAAATACAAATATTTCTCATCTTTTACAGGTGTCTGTTGGTTACCGTGCAACAACCAAAACAGCCAGGTAAGCTTCATGCTCTTTATCTCTCCTTGGGTCACACTGTCTGCTGGAATAACAAAACAAAATCAAAAGTAAAAGCAATAATTTTGCCCCTTTATGATCTTGTTTCACAGAATGCATTATTACGTTGTCCTCTTCGCTCTGCTCTCAGCCTGCGTGTTGGCCGATGGTGAGTACGATTTGAGAGACTAAAGTGTGTGTTGAAGCTGGAGGATCTTTTCATATATAATTTGTCGGGAAATTTACAAAAATTTGACACATTTTTGGGGGGAATTTTGTTGGAAATAGAGATGCATATCATATGTGCAGCTTAAGTTTAAAATGTCACACAGGCGAAGGCATACTTTACTGAGTGAGCACTTTTTGAGATTTTAACGGAGCACTTTTGATAACAATGTACTGATAAGAACACATATTGTTGAGGCACTGGTGCTCTCTATCTCCCTGGTTTCTGACTCTATCCACCGTCCTCCAGTCTCTACAATAAAGGCATAAAAAGCAAAAAAATAAAAAATCTTTAACACTTTATAAATAAATATTGTCTAAGAAACTTTGGTAAAGAAAAGGACGGACACTTAAACACAAAAGTGTACAACGTCTCAATGTTGAAATGTTGTGTTTTGTATTTGCAGTCCAGCCTCAGTACTACTCCATCTCCCCGGCCGTGGGCTCAGCAAGTGGCACAGAGTACAGCTTGACGGGACATGGAAGGATCACAGCTCTCAGAGTGTGGGACCAGAACGGCAACTACATCCGAGGGTAAATATAAAAATGGATTTTTTTATATGGGATGAGTCTTTAATCACTTGTATGTTAGACAAACTTTAATCAAACCCTGCTTCCTCAAATGTTCAGTTACAACTAATCTGAAGAAGAAAATAATGGATTTCAATTTGTATTAACAACATGAGGATGATGTGGTTAATCAATATTACTGGGAAGTTGCATACATACAGTATATATATTTTTTTGTTGTTGATTAGTTTCATTCTAATTTCTCACTTTGGCTTCATCCCCTCTTTAGCTTCCAGTTCCGTTACGGCTACAACCAAAACAGCCAGGTAAGCTTCATGCTCTTTATGTCTCCTTGGGTCACACTGTCTGCTGGAATAACAAAACAAAATAAAAAGTAAAAGCAATAATTTTGCCCCTTTATGATCTTGTTTCACAGAATGCATTATTACGTTGTCCTCTTCGCTCTGCTCTCAGCCTGCGTGTTGGCCGATGGTGAGTACGATTTGAGAGACTAAAGTGTGTGTTGAAGCTGGAGGATCTTTTCATATATAATTTGTCGGGAAATTTACAAAAATTTGACACATTTTTGGGGGGAATTTTGTTGGAAATAGAGATGCATATCATATGTGCAGCTTAAGTTTAAAATGTCACACAGGCGAAGGCATACTTTACTGAGTGAGCACTTTTTGAGATTTTAACGGAGCACTTTTGATAACAATGTACTGATAAGAACACATATTGTTGAGGCACTGGTGCTCTCTATCTCCCTGGTTTCTGACTCTATCCACCGTCCTCCAGTCTCTACAATAAAGGCATAAAAAGCAAAAAAATAAAAAATCTTTAACACTTTATAAATAAATATTGTCTAAGAAACTTTGGTAAAGAAAAGGACGGACACTTAAACACAAAAGTGTACAACGTCTCAATGTTGAAATGTTGTGTTTTGTATTTGCAGTCCAGCCTCAGTACTACTCCATCTCCCCGGCCGTGGGCTCAGCAAGTGGCACAGAGTACAGCTTGACGGGACATGGAAGGATCACAGCTCTCAGAGTGTGGGACCAGAACGGCAACTACATCCGAGGGTAAATATAAAAATTGATTTTTTATATGGGATGAGTCTTTAATCACTTGTATGTTAGACAGACTTTAATCAAACCCTGCTTCCTCAAATGTTCAGTTACAACTAATCTGAAGAAGAAAATAATGGATTTCAATTTGTATTAACAACATGAGGACGATGTGGTTAATCAATATTACTGGGAAGTTGCATACATACAGTATATATATTTTTTTGTTGTTGATTAGTTTCATTCTAATTTCTCACTTTGGCTTCATCCCCTCTTTAGCTTCCAGTTCCGTTACGGCTACATCTGGTCCAAGATTGTCGGTTTCAAAAGCGGGGATGTCCAGGAGATAGAGCTGTTTGAGGATGAAGCCATCGTCCAGATCTCTGGAAAGCATAGCCACTACGTTCAGTCTGTGGTGTTCGTGACCAACAAGGGCCGCTCGCTGATCGCGGGTCAGCCCTCGGGGAGATCCTTCAACATGTATCCCGAGAGCAGCATGGCGAGCTGCGCTTCCTCAGCGGGCGCTACCACGGAGGCATCACATCCATGGGAGCTCACTGGGCCGTCGTTTATGAGCCCTATAACAGCACAGCTGTGGTCTGAGGAGGATGGCAAAGGTTTCACCTGTTGCCGTGCAATTATATGAAATCATTTTAATAATGTTCTGTGGTGTATTTTGACCGAACATAATAATTGCTTTAAACATTTGTTTCTTTGTTAAACTATTGTTCTTTGTTCAAAGCTCCAAAGTATGAGTAAAAAAAACACATCAGAGTACCAGACGTTTTTCAAACTTATGCAAACTTAAGCCTACTTATTTAAAAACAAAAAAACAACAAGTGAAGTAACAGAGGGCATTAAGGTGTTATTTATACTGTATTAGAACCTGAACTGACCCTAGATCAGTGCACGATATTGATTATCATGTGAAAGATTTAACCTCGTTTTTTTTCCTTTCATTTAAGTTTATATTTTTTCAGATCCATTTCCTCTACTTCTTCTAAACATGTAGCAGCTAAGCTGTTGAATAAAAATGCATTTTTAGCACTTTAAACTGCTCAAGTTGTCAGTGTGTTTAATAAAACTTGTAATCGCCTATATCTGAATCAGAATCAGATTTTTTTGGCCAGGTATGCTTAAACACACACACAAGGAATTTAACTTTGGTGAACTGTGCTCTCTTATGTACAGGTACAACATTAAATATCAACAATAAACATAATAAGAAAAGACTAATATTTACATGACTAAATATGAAACAGTGCAAAAGATGCTGAAGTAACATGATAATAAGTAAAATGCAGTTATGTGACAGATGGGTCAATTAAGATGTCAATTACAGTAATTACATAAATAAGTGTGTAACGTATATTGATCATTTAAATTAAATAATATATATATACATCTCTACCCCCTCTCTTCAAACAATGGCTCTGCAAGCTTGCCAAGATACAAATATTTGGGGGAAGTGGGAATTTTCTTTTTGTTAAGTTTCCTTTTATCAAAAACAATTCAGATGTTTGCTTTTCACAAGGTGTCTATATCTTTTTTATCTTTGGCCCCAAAACAAAATGTAAAAAAATGTTGAATAGCCAAACATGCCTACAGGATAGAAATGTTGAACATTCATGTTAAGATAACAGCTAACACAAGTCACCGCTACCAGCTAATAGCACTGTTAGCTAGGAAGGATGAAAGTAATTAAGGATAATATAGAAGAGGCCTAAATTCATACCACACATTGAGGAGTTCAAGCTAACGTTATGTACACTATGTAGCCAAATGTATGTGCAGTATTTAGCCTATGAGCTGGTTCAGCTGTGGCTCAGTTGGTAGAGTCGGTCGTTTTTCTACTAAAAGGTCGGGGGTTCGATCCCCGGCTCCTGCAGCAACATGTCTGATGTGTCCTTGGACAAGACACTCAACCCTGAATTGCTCCCTCTTTTTTCTTCTTTTTAGTTGTAGTCTTGCTGTGTTTTATATTATACCATGGTTACTTTAAATTGATTTGAATATCCTAATGGATGATGCATTTCCATAAACCTTTTTTGATGAAGATATTGCACAATTGTTTTTATTTTTTCACCTTTCCCTCTTTTTTAAAAACACATGTATTATTCAGGTTTGAGTCTTTGTTTCTATCAAAAGTTTAAGACTTCAGATCAGATTGAAGGAATGTTTTTAGCTAAAAAAAAAAAAAAAGAAAGAATTCTATTTCCTCCTGTTAAACTATTCCAAGAGTTATTTCGAGGACTTTCCTTACGGTAACTCTTTCTGTTTACTGATAATGGCACACCTTTTATGCTTATTGAAACACACGTGACATAACAGGAAAAGCACCACAGGTACAATATTTCCCGAACCCAGCTCCACCAGCAGGTATTGTGCGTCTGTGAAGGATGAAAAGAAAATGTGCTCAGGAATGCGTTGTCAGTGTGTATAAATACTGATCCTCCACAATCACAGTGCAAGCACAGATTCAAGCTGCAAGTGGAAACTGAAGCCTGGAGAACATCAGCCATCACTTTGATACCTGATCTGTAAGTATTCATCCCAACATTTAAACTCACATTTTTAACCTCAGAATTTGTAATAGGTTGTCATTTACAGTTTATAATACATTACGACAACAATAGACATTTTAAGCATTTATAATAAAGATTAATGAACACTATATTTTTGTTATTACTGTTAATATTCATACAGCATGACACAGTAATACAATACATCTGCTATCACAATTATATAAATGTAAAGAATATGAAAAATACAAATATTTCTCATCTTTTACAGGTGTCTGTTGGTTACCGTGCAACAACCAAAACAGCCAGGTAAGCTTCATGCTCTTTATGTCTCCTTGGGTCACACTGTCTGCTGGAATAACAAAACAAAATAAAAAGTAAAAGCAATAATTTTGCCCCTTTATGATCTTGTTTCACAGAATGCATTATTACGTTGTCCTCTTCGCTCTGCTCTCAGCCTGCGTGTTGGCCGATGGTGAGTACGATTTGAGAGACTAAAGTGTGTGTTGAAGCTGGAGGATCTTTTCATATATCTTTCTCTTTCATATACCTCCCTGAGGAGATAAGACTCGCAGACCCCCTCAATTCTTTTAAATCCCTTCTTAAAACATACTTTTACAGACTTGCTTTTATGTGATGTCGTCTTCTTAATGTCTTCTCTTACTGGTTTTACTATTTTTATCTTCTTCTACTTCTTACTGTCTTTTATTTATGGTCTTATCTCATATTTATGCTCATATCTTAATCTCCTCTTGTGTTTTAACTTGGTAATTTCTTATCTTACTTACTTTGTCTATTTATGTTTCGTATTTATAGTTAATTTTTATTTTTATTAATATTATAGTTTTGGGTTTTTTGATCCTTTAACCACTTGTTTTTATTTCCTTTACTGCGCTTACCTTCTCATTGCTTTTTATTTGCTTTTATCTCTTAGTTTCTTACATCTTTTTAAATCTTTGGTCCTCTTGGTCTCAGCTCATGTTGTTGGGTTCTTGTGTTCCTGGGTTCTTATGATGGTTCTTATGATGGTTGGGTTATATATGTCTGGTTGTGTATCGTGCACTTTGGGTTCTTTTCTGTTGAATTGTTTTTAATTATTTTTGGTATTTTGCATCTGTTATATTCTTACTGTTGTTAATGTTTTTCTGTGTTTAGTTTGCTTTGTTCTTGCTGTTTATCAAAGCACTTTGTAAACCTGTGTTTTTAAAAGGTGCTATATAAATAAAGTTATTATTATTATTATTATATAATTTGTCGGGAAATGTACAAAAATTTGACACGTTTTTTGGGGGAATTTTGTTGGAAATAGAGATGCATATCATATGTGCAGCTTAAGTTTAAAATGTCACACAGGCGAAGGCATACTTTACTGAGTGAGCACTTTTTAAGATTTTAACGGAGCACTTTTGATAACAATATACTGATAAGAACACATATTGTTGAGGCACTGGTGCTCTCTATCTCCCTGGTTTCTGACTCTATCCACCGTCCTCCAGTCTCTACAATAAAGGCATAAAAAGCAAAAAAAATAAAAAATCTTTAACACTTTATAAATAAATATTGTCTAAGAAACTTTGGTAAAGAAAAGGACGGACACTTAAACACAAAAGTGTACAACGTCTCAATGTTGAAATGTTGTGTTTTGTATTTGCAGTCCAGCCTCAGTACTACTCCATCTCCCCGGCCGTGGGCTCAGCAAGTGGCACAGAGTACAGCTTGACGGGACATGGAAGGATCACAGCTCTCAGAGTGTGGGACCAGAACGGCAACTACATCCAAAGGGTAAATATAAAAATGAATTTTTTTATATGGGATGAGTCTTTAATCACTTGTATGTTAGACAGACTTTAATCAAACCCTGCTTCCTCAAATGTTCAGTTACAACTAATCTGAAGAAGAAAATAATGGATTTCAATTTGTATTAACAACATGAGGATGATGTGGTTGATCAATATTACTGGGAAGTTGCATACATACAGTATATATTTTTTTTTGTTGTTGATTAGTTTCATTCTAATTTCTCACTTTGGCTTCATCCCCTCTTTAGCTTCCAGTTCCGTTACGGCTACATCTGGTCCAAGATTGTCGGTTTCAAAAGCGGGGATGTCCAGGAGATAGAGCTGTTTGAGGATGAAGCCATCGTCCAGATCTCTGGAAAGCATAGCCACTACGTTCAGTCTGTGGTGTTCATGACCAACAAGGGCCGCTCGCTGATCGCGGGTCAGCCCTCGGGGAGATCCTTCAACATGTATCCCGAGAGCAGCATGGCTGAGCTGCGCTTCCTCAGCGGGCGCTACCACGGAGGCATCACATCCATGGGAGCTCACTGGGCCGTCGTTTATGAGGCCTATAACAGCACAGCTGTAGTCTGAGGAGGATGGCAAAGGTTTCACCTGAAACCGAACATAATAATTGCTTTAAACATTTGTTTCTTTGTTAAACTATTGTTCTTTGTTCAAAGCTCCAAAGTATGAGTAAAAAAAACACATCAGAGTACTCGACGTTTTTCAAACTTATGCAAACTTAAGCCTACTTATTTAAAAACAAAAAAACAACAAGTGAAGTAACAGAGGGGCATTAAGGTGTTATTTATACTGTATTAGAACCTGAACTGACCCTAGATCAGTGCACGATATTGATTATCATGTGAAAGATTTAACCTCGTTTTTTTTCCTTTCATTTAAGTTTATATTTTTTCAGATCCATTTCCTGTACTTCTTCTAAACATGTAGCAGCTAAGCTGTTGAATAAAAATGCATTTTTAGCACTTTAAACTGCTCAAGTTGTCAGTGTGTTTAATAAAACTTGTAATGGCCTATATCTGAATCAGAATCAGATTTTTTGGCCAGGTATGCTTAAACACACACAAGGAATTTAACTTTGGTGAACTGTGCTCTCTTATGTACAGGTACAACATTAAATATCAACAATAAACATAAGAAAAGACTAATATTTACATGACTAAATATGAAACAGTGCAAAAGATGCTGAAGTAACATGATAATAAGTAAAATGCAGTTATGTGACAGATGGGTCAATTAAGATGTCAATTACAGTAATTACAAAAATAAGTGTGCGTATATTGATCATTTAAATTAAATAATATCTATATACATATATGTATATTCACAGTGACGGTTGGTTTAGAGTCATTTCACCGCGACAGGTCTGACACTCTGTGACTGTTTAGCGTTCATCAGAGTGACAGCCTGGGGGGATTTTTTTTTTTTTTTACTTATATTCCTATTTGCTGATATATGAATATAATATATAGGCCTACATACAGTATATGATTACATTGAAGGTTCTTTCACCAGAACAGGAAACACCTAATGTAGAACCATGACATTTGACGATTAGACTTTGACTTTGATTGATCCTCCTTTCATTTCCATCAGGTGATTAGCTTAGCATGGCAAAGTAGGTGGAAGACTGAAACAGGTACAATGGCAACAAGTTGTAGTTTTGGGGAGATTTATGATTAGCATTCAAACAAACATTCAAACAAAAACTCCAGGAAGTCCAAACTTACAAACTGTCAAATCATTTATCTCCTCTCTCTAACATAATTGATTCATTTAGGACATTTTGCAATCGTCCGAATATTATAGATAAAGAGATAACTTCATTAATCACCTGGCGATGGACGACTAAATACAGTCTACAGATCACTCAGAGAGGACAGAAACTATTTATAATTATTAGTCCTCTGCACGCACTGTTAGCCAAGTTCGAAAAAGGGAAAAGCCACAATCAAATACCTAACATAACCTAACGTTCATTGTATTCAACAATGTGCTGCTTCAAACACCTGCTGCTATCCTGCAGATGCTACATAATGCAGTGGTTCCCCCTTGTGGTTACTTTCAATTTGAAGCGATGACATCATAACCATGAATTATCTTTGCTGTGCCTGAATGAAGTATTCATCTTTACGCAGATGATGTTCTTCTATCCAGGGGTGCCGCCTGGAACTCTGGGCCCCATGAAAAGATATCACATTGGGCCCCTACCACGGCCCAAACTAACCCGGAAAATGACCATCACACAAATTACCCGTAAAAACTTTGAACAACTATGCTTTGTTTTACACCCTGAAACTGGAAGATAAATAATCACTGTAATATTTCCTCGTAGCTTAAAAATAATTTAAACTTTGTAATATTTGCACCTTTCAGACATTTGAAACATTTCCAACAGCATTATTTTACTTATTAACTTGCTATAGTTAATGTCCTAAAGGCTTTTATTGTCTAAATTGATCTTATTGGTTAGCTTATTGAATTAAAAATTCTATTGGCATTAATGATAAAATGTAAACATACAATAAATCTGAATTAGATTCTACCATGACTTTAAAATGAGGCTATAATAGTTCTTCTCTGTTCTGACTTCACTTTAATTCTTCTTACACTGCATTGTCATTTGTCTCACCTGACGTTCAAAATATTGTTTTTTGGGCAAAAGTAGCGGACTCAGTTTTGTGCTGAGATGCTAAATATCGCTCCAAAGTCGACTCTTTATTACCGCGATGTAATATTTTTACAAATAGGGTCATATGAAGTCGTATCTATGAAGGGGATTCATGAATTTATGCATAAAACACAAACTGAACAAAACGATATTCTTGGCTTTATCTGGTTTACTATGCAGCCTGCCACATCTCTTACTCCTGACTCGACTGACTGCTGACAGATCAAGTCAGTCGAGAGGGTCAAGAGGTGCGGGGCGGACTAAACCATTCTACGCATTCACTCCACATTTTTTCCAGAAAGGAATTCTGAATGTTTGTTCATTTATTCAGAGAATTTTAGTTATCTTATTGCGGTTATAACTTCGAGAAAAAAAGCTAAATAAGAAATATATTTTTATTTCAGGCCATGAAGGGCCCCCCTCTCCACTGGGGCCCTGGGTAGTCAGTCCCACTTTCCCCCCCCACTACGACGCCCCTGCTTCTATCCTCAGTACATCTCTAAAAGTAAGTTCACTTAACAACCCTCATAGAGGAATAAATGTTGGGTTTTCAGCCACATTTAGTGTGTTTAATAACGCTGTATGCTCACAGTGTTCCTCCTTTAACCAGTGACTTGGGATGACAAGATGGAACTACTTTATTGGCATAACGAAAACGATTTACAGTCTTTACTGTAACTGTCCCTTTGAGGAGCTGACAGTAATGGTATGCACATTGGACACAGGTATAATACAGATAAGCTTGTGTTTAAGCAGTGGAGAGATTACAGTTTGGATTGATGTGAGGAATCTCACGTTGGCAGACAAGCTTTACAAGCTTTACATTCTGCCCTGTGGACACACACAGAGCAGCATTGGTTTCACTTTAACTCAGTGACAAGTGAGTAGCTTGTTAAACATGGTTTCACCCTCTGCTGCAAAAATGATTTTGGAGACATGCTGAAGCTTCAGTGTTTAGTCTGCTCTGTTGAAGTTTCAGTGTTTAGCCAGCTCTGCATCAGTCTAGAAAACCTTTCTGCCTTCTAACCTCTCTCCATTTCCTCAAGAGAATCTTCAACATCCTAGATTTACAACATCTCTGGTGGTGGAGTGTATTAGAAAAAATGCTGAGGTTGTTTAGGTCAGGTAGAATCAGTTTTCGCTTGCCCGCTTTCATGCAGCAGCACCTGTTGGTTTGCTGTTTGCCTGCCGTGTGAGGGTGCCACCGACTTCTCTGGTCATCAAATGTTGGAGAATAAGAAGCTATACACTGTGCTAATGCTAACAGAATAGACAGGAATGATGGTGCTGCAGACCAAACAGCTACAGTCATAGTAATAAACCCTGATTTGTACATCTTAATTTGCACATTTCACCGGAAAAAAATATGAAACAAAAAAAAAACTGGAATCAACTGAATTAAAATAGTTATATTTAACAAGATGTCTAAAAACCCATTACTCATCTGATTATTAAGGTTCACATAACAAGCTGTTAGAGATGAAGAAAGACTTGCGGGAGGAAGATTATATTCAAGCTGATCAAACCAATAATTATAAACAGAGGGAGAAGAACTTAGATTTACTGAAAGGTCAACATAAAGATTCCTGGATCCCCCCCCCCATGTTTTCAAAGCTCTTGGTACAGTCCTTGGTTTGGGCCTCTGGATAAAACCAAGCTCCACCCTCACCCTCACATGTTTTGTCAAACCAGGAAGAACCCAGCAGCCATGCAGGTTACCCAAACGCAGAGACATGGTTGATAACATTAGGTTTATCAAAATAGCATTATGACCAAATGTTAAATGTGTGTGCTGTGTTTAGACAAGAATGCATTGTTAAAGATCCTTAAAACACTTATTGAAAACAAGGAAAACTGAGTGTTTTAAGTTCCTGTATCTGAAAGTTACTGATCCTAGTGATGTATGTGGATGAGTTTAAGGTCTAATACTTGAATTAGGCTGTGGACACTTCTGAGAAAGTTGGGGGAGTATTTTTAGATCGATTACCTTTAGCTTGAATAAATATGACTGATTATGGATGAATTCAATTTGCTTGTGCCTCCCTGCTTATTGCACAACAAACGATGCGGGATTGGTCTGAAATTGGGCCCAGCTTTAAAAGTAAATGTGCACAGGGTATCCCCAATTTAAGGCTGTGCTGCAGGATTACACTGGGTCCTGACTTGGTTACCATTGTATATGAGATTATCTTTGCAGTGCCTGATGAAGTATTCATCTTTACGCAGATGATATTCTTCTATTTACCACAGCTGCCCCTGTCTAATGAACCAATGTGGAAAGATATATCTGCAAAAATAACCTTATCAAGGTTCTGTCTGCTCTAAGATGTCAAAATTAAATTTGCACATATTAAATAAATCATGTTAAACATAACTGGGAATTGTATACTAACAGTGTGTAGGTATACTGTGGTGAGTATATGGCCTTTTTCTTCATTTCTCTGTAATGTGAAGCAACAAAATGTTGAAGCTGTTTTTCTTTCAGTTTTTGGACTATGAGATGCCTCCTCTGATTATACTCTAGTCAGTGTTTCATTTTGCCCTCAGGTTTATTCCTTGTCATAATAACCCTCACAAATGCATTATGTAGGATGGACTTCCCATTTGGAGAGTCACTATAATAGCTATTGGCACTTGTTTATTTACAACCCCCTTATTGGAAAATTGCCCTCCTCCATCTCATCTTTGCTGCTGTGGCACCACAGCCCATAATAAACACGCTCCAGTGATTGGTTAATGCTCCGGAGAGCCAGAACTGATTCAGGAAGAAAAAAAAAAAAGCGCCCTTACTGTGAGTGCATCACAGGGATTAGTCTGCAATGTCAAATAAAAATCTCAATAAAATCTGTATTTATTTGTTGTTGTTTTTTTTTTTTTTCAAATTTCAACCGCGTAGGCTTTAGTTTTTAAATTTACCTAGAATATAATCTAAATGTTGCAGGGGTGCTTCAGGTTGTTCCCTGGAAGAATGCTACTTGATGCAAGATCTATCACAACTGACTGTGTGTGTGTGTGTGTGTGTGTGTGTGTGTGTGTGTGTGTGTGTGTGTGTGTGTGATCTGAAACCTCTGTACAGGGTGCTTTAGACTGCCCTTTCTGCAAAACTCATACAAAAACTTGCCTTTTTTTGTTCCAGAAAACGCTGAGCACTACACTTCCCAGGATCCTTTGAGGCCAGGCAGCAGCTGTGCGCTCCGGCTTGCCCGCAGCAAAGTGATGATAACACGCCAAACAAGGTACAATGAGAGCGTGTTGAGGTTTTTTTTAATTATTTTTTATAACACATTTCAGCTGCTTCTTTTCTCCGAGTGATGCCCAAATCTGCGGAGTAGCACGATGGCTGTCGAAGGTAAGACACTTAATTTACCTGTATGCTTCGGCATTTCCGTTTATGTCTCATGGTATATAGGTGAAAGAGATTATGTGGTGACATGATGTAAGGTGTTTTTGGTTGTTCCACGGCTCAACCCAGACACAGCCGGGTCAGCTGAGAAAGCCCAGCGATTGGGTGATGTTGCAGCCTCTGCTCTCTCTCCGCATTACGTGCACTTATCCTGGTCATCTCCTGTTATGACAATTGAAATGACACCCCGCTGTGTGTGTTCGTAGCCTACATGCTCATAAACCATAAAGACTCGCGTTAACGTGGTCGTGAGCTCTGCGCTTGGAGACCGAGACTGGTTAACAGGTCTGCGACTTCTTTTGCATAATCATCCCCTGATGTGCCGCGCACTTTGTCTTCTCTGGAGGATAGATTATAATCTTTACTATTTTCTGTTCATTTAATTTAGTATTTTTGTGGAGATATTTCGCCTGATTCTTTTTGTTCTGTGGCGCAACAGTGCGCGCTGTGTGTGTGTTTGTGTGAGCTCATCCTGTTCCACAAGATAAGTCAGGGTTTTAGGCTGCTCATCTGGCAGCAGGTGGTGTGACATGTGGACCGGGTAAAGTCTCACCCAGTGCTTGTCAATAAAACATTCAGTGAAGTCGCTCCCTCCGGCAGTGTGACTCGGGATGCTCGGCCAGTCTCCTCACCTTATCGGAGGCATCTTGTGGATCCAGAATCCAATGAGAGGTATGTTAAAAGGGGAGGGGGAGGAGGAGGGGTATTCACATCATGCATGCTATGTGACCAGCTTTCTCTCTCCCCATAAGGCTGTTTCACTTCAGTCCAGTTCATTGTGGGTTTGTTCATTCAGGTATGACTGGTATGAGGCTGTGGCACTCCTGCATACCTGACCTACCTTAGATCAGGTTGTTTATCTCTGACAGCCTTTTACAGGACAGTTCATGTTTAGGTCTTGCTGCTTGACACCTCCTGATTCTCTCCTGGATTTTTATAAAAGTGGACTTTGATTGTAGAGGATATCATGTTGTGTTTGCATGTCGATATATTTATGTTCTGGCATTGATAGCAAAGATCAGAAGGAGCTGCATGCAGAGCAATTTTTGTTGTTCTGCAGCATTACTGCATATTTTCCCATGTTAAGGACCCAAAAATAGGCTCATGTGGAAATGCAATCTCAAAATTCCTTCCTTTCAGTCAGGTTTCTGTGCAGGATTTGTGCTCTGAATATGGACACAACAGCTGAGGCTTAGACACTTTAAATGCAGCACTCATTCTCCTCTCACCAGGCTATAAATCACAGTAAAGAAAGATAAGAAAAATTGAAAGTCTTGTAAGCTTCCCCGGGGCTCTCAAGTCCTCACTTTTACAAAACAGCTCTTTCTTTGCCTTTTTTCAAGCTCAAGAAATGTTTTGGTACAAGTCGTCCTCTCCATGCTTTTCATGTTGTAGCGTCTTTACACGGCTGTTAGCCGACCTACAGGTGTAAGGATGTAAAGCCAGCTGTTTTAAAGCTTTAACCTCAAATGATAGACAATGAGCTCATAGCAGCAGCTGTATTATAACTGCAAGACTCCCAGGCGGTCATTTTGAAGGCGAATATTGAAGCTGCCTGCAGACACACACTTTGTTCCAGAGCTGGATGTTTTTTTTTTCCAGTTATCCAGTTTGATTCTTCTCATTGTTTTTATTTTATTTTGTGCATGAATAAAAAGAGAAGGTACATTTTTCAAAAGTGTGTCTTGGCTAGATATGTTTCCCAAATGAAATGTTTTTCACTCGCTTCACAATTATTAAGTCTGACTTGTTGACACTTTATCATTTTTAATTATACGTTTGTTAGCTCCATGTTCACATCATACAGAATTGTTATCTCTCACATCCGTAACTGTAACAAATCCAGAGGTAGTGTGATACACATGTACTATTTTACTTTTTATTTTATTTTGAATACAGTCCGACTGATTTATCGGCCAGCCGATAATATCTGGCGATATTAGCATGTCAAGTAAATATCGGTATCTGCTAATTTTTTTAACACATATGCGCTGATATTCGAAGATTTTTTCACCAGTCAAATATAATTTCATTTGAGTTTCATTATATTACACTAGCAGTTCTCTTTCTGGCTATCACCAGCAGAGTTACTCTCCAGAGTGTCGAGCGATGAAGCACGTACATGTACAGTTACTTTCCAGTTGAGTGACCATCTTGTCTTCATTATATATCTTTTCCACAAGAGTTGGATAACTACATTTGAGAGATCAATACAATAAATGTCTCTATAGATCTAACATAGAACTAAAGATATCAGCCAATATATCGGTATCGGCCCAAAAAATCCCATATCGGTCAGGCACTAATTTGTAATATTTGTTGTTTTATTTGTGAGGATAGAGACCATTAATGAACATCAGTATTTAAAAAAAACAGGCAGGTAACAATGCCAGAGTTTCCATTTAAAGTCCCCAGGAAGGTAACATAAAAAAATCTATATTGATAATTTAATGGTACAAGTATAAAGTACATGAATAGAAGGAAAAGAAAGTAAGCAAGATTTCCGGTTAAAAATGATGAAGTTTCTTTACATGATACAATTCTTTGAAAGATTAAACTCTTATTCTGCAAAAGAAACACCGCATTGATATATAACTTGAGTCGAGCAGCTTTAAGACTCAGTGCACTCACTCGTGATTCACTGACTTGTGTCATTGAGAGACATGAGTTATGAGTCACATCCTCGTCCACTGAAGCTGCTGTAACTAATGTGTCTGCCAGGATTAAAGAGAAAACTACAACAACTAAAAAGAAACTGCTTTTCGAAAAACATTCAAGGTCAGATCAGATTTTGCTGAAGCTGCTAAAACATGCGGTGGAGCTCGATACTGCGACTGAAACACAATCTACTTTAGAATACATTCTCTTTGAAGACTGTAAAGGATGGTGCTCTGACTCAGAGAGTAAAGCATTCAGATGGGATTCAGCTGTGACAAAGTAACTCAGTTCATTCAGATTAACTGAAGTTTAAGTTTGAGCATCTTTGCCTCAACTTGAGTGCGTGATTTTTCTGACTTCTACACCTCTGAACTTAAGCCAATGTCGATGTGCAAAAAACTGCAATTCCTCCAATATCTACTTAAGAGGCTGACCCCAAAAACTTCAAAATGTCTGCTTTCACAGCAGAAATAAACATGTTTACATCCTTTAGTAAATGGAAATGTCTCATCATACCTAATGTCTCTGAACAAGCTCGGTGTAAGATTGAAGTTTTAACTTGTGTCTACATTGGAACTATCTCAGCTGCTGCAACACCTCAATAGTTAATAGTTCATAAACTCTGTCTTAAATTAGAATTTACATTCAAATTAGACCACATTTTAATGTACACAGTGATGGATTAATCCAGTGCTGAACTTTTACTGAAGTAGGATTCTAAATACAACTCTTATTACATGATGATAAGAAAAGTATGAATAATTACCACACGTTTACATTTCTATTCATTGAAGTTAAATCACATATTTTACACAGCCTCTCTAATGCAAGAAAATTACATTATTATCGGATAGAGGTGCACAGATCCACTTTTTGTCAGTTCCAAACTGATTCCGGTACATATGTACGGATACTGATTCCGATATTTTTTTTAAATCATAATAAATATTGCAATTAATTTAGTTGGTATTGTGAGTGAGGCTACCAACCTGACATTACATTTCTTATTCAAAGAGAGAAACAATTTAATAGAATTGATAGAAATTAGAATTATTACAAATAAATTGATCTGAACTATTTGCTGGCTTCACGTACAAACAGGAAGCAGCAACAACTGTCAGGTTTTCAAAATAAGGTATTTTAAACAGAAGTGCAGGAATTGTACTTTTGATCATGTAGAAGGAGCTGTTCCATCTTGTCTGAACATCTCGATGATGATTTGTGAGAAGTTCAGTCTGAATGTCTTTAAAGCGAGATCTTTCTTGATCGATGATGTGGATTGTTGCCATCTGTCCGATATCCGATATGTAAATTAATCAATATTGGACCCGATACTGATATTAGGTTATTAAATGACTGTTTTGTAGAAAAAAAGAGCAGTATTTTTATATTTAAGTATTTCATATTCAAATTCTTTGGCGTGTACATATAGAAGAAATCATAAGCTTTTGTGAGATATATGAAATCAACTTTTGAAATGCTGCCTCATTGTGTTGTCATCTAACCTTTTCAAGTATCATCCTTTGTTATATTGTTTCTCTCCTCCCTCCTGGATGATACCCACTAATTGCTTTGCGTTATGCGTATTATATCACCATTTTAAAAGTGCCATTGTAAGCGGGAAAAAGTCCTGAATTTAATTAAACTGCTTTTGTTTATTTTCCCCACAGCGCGAGCAGAGCTGTCCCTGCGGGGTCGGAACAAAAGCTCACTGCAGCTCCATCACTTTTAATTTCAGATGTGGGCTTTGAAAGAAATCACAACAAAACCCTGCAGAGTCACTATTTTTTTTTTCTGTTCCACTGCTCCAACAACCCCTCTGAGACACAGAATATAGGTCAAGCATTTAAGAATTTATAACACATGAGAAGACAATAAGCTCTTTTGAGAAAGTAGCACTTTGGAGTGTGCCTCACCACCATTTGAGCTTTATTTAGGAAGGCACTTTCACTTAGATGGGTTTGGAGAATTCAGTCTCTGCAAGAGGACACAAAACCTGACGGGGAGCTACAAAGTTCTGTGTAGGTCAAACTGAAAGCTCGGGAAGAGAATCAGGTTCTATAGCTGCTTATGGTTTAGATTCTACAAAAATGATCGGTGTATGAATCAACAATCCTTTGAGCATTCATTGTTTTGATTAATTTTCATCTTTTTGCATGTCGTTCTGGCCTTCAAGCCTAAAAATAAAATGTTTTATCAGGAAAGAATAGACTCTCCCTGACCCAACGTTTTTTTTAACTGAAAGACATCTTAAGGCCCCGACACAACAAAGAGATCGTCGACCGTTGGTCCTAGTTCTATGGAGGTCAAACTTGTACTTTGACAAAAAAAAAGACAACAATAATGTGAAGTGCAAAATATGTGGTGTTAAACTTAAGTCTCCTGGTGACGAACCTTTGCATCATTCTGCCTCTCGTCCTCTCATAGTGTCAAGTGATGCCTCATGACACATTTCATGTTGATCTCATGTTAATGCCTTAATCATTCTGACTTAAGACCACATGATACATGAAAAGAACTAGATCTTAGTGACAAATGTCAAGTCCATGAATAACATCGGTGTCATGGTGCAAAAACATTTAAAAATAGAGATAATTGTGGAAATGTTCACATAGTCATTAACATAAGGGATTCTTTGCTTTCACCTGACCATTCATAGCAGGGAGTGGGTGTGCTAGTCCAAGAGTATGATACATTACATGTGAGGAAACAACAGTGCCTAGCCCAGCTGATATGAATGTGCTGAACGAACTCAACATTAGCTCTTTGGTATCAGCTGAGGTTACAAACTCTAATCTGTAGGGGGCAATGTAGAGCATGACAATAGTAACAGCATCAATGGAGGGATGTGTATTGATTACGTGATACTCAAAAAGTACTGAAGGGAAAAGTGATATAAATATGTACATTGGTTAAGAATCAGAGCTTCTCAGATTGGCCTGTTGTAGTTGTTATTTTGAGCAAATTGACCCTAACAGAGGTCAGCTTGCATTTACATTGCTAGTCAAAGTTGC